CTCATTTTATTTGAATTCTGCTGAAATATGCAAAAGCAATGAATGAATTTTTAGGCACACGATTTCAGGAAAAATCTGGATGAATTTTCCGTTTTTGTTGTGGTTGAGATATTTTAGGAATTCGCTATGGAGGCTGTAGATGCTGCTGCTGTTGTTGTTGTTGTTGTTGTTGCGGCTGTTGCTCCTTTCAGCTGTTGCGCCTGCAATTCCTGCGCCGCAACCTGCCCCAAAGATGACGACATTATTCTCAGAATGCCACTCAATGTCAATAGCAAGAAGCGAGACCACAGTCGGATCCCGCACAGCAGCAGGAGACCTTGAATGCGGCAGCGGCTGCTTTTGTTGCCTGCCTCTTGTCACAACAAAAGCTGAGTAAACTTCAAATGCGCCTCTCGCTTGCAGCTCTCACGGTAGCTCTGTGTGTGTTTGTGTGGCGGGGCAGGCAGATGAGCCCTCATGCAACTGTTCAACTATTGCCTTATCGGCTTATCAGTAGCTCGCAATGTTTGACCAACTTGATATTTTTCGACTGTTTTCGTTTTCGAGCGAAATAAAAAGCGAGCAAATAGAGAGATGGGGCCAGAGCGGGGAGGGGCACAGCATCCGTTCGGCATTTGAATGTGGCGCAAAAGTGTTCAACAGAAGAAAAAAAAAGTGAGAAATATTCCAACAAAATAAAAGTGTCGTAAAATGCGGCGCTGGCTGCGTGGGAAATTGATGAGCAGCGCTGCCTAAGCAAACACAAGCGACTGCAGTTGGCGTCGCTGTTGGCGTCGCTGTCGCTGTCGACTGCAATTTGTTGACACGCATTTTGCTTCTTCTTCTTCTTCTTGTTCAGCTGTGTTTTGTATCTGTTGGCTACAATTCATATTTGTTGAACTTGTGAAAATCGCTGTGAGACGTTGCTAATTGGCTGCATTTGTAGTCGAATGTGTTTTTATATTTTTTTCCCCCTTTACGCTCGCTTACAAATTGATGAATGTAAAAAAAAAAAAAAAAAAAAACAGAGTGAAAAATGGAAATTTGTTGTATTTACAGCGTGTAAATATTTGGGCCTGAATAATTTTGTTCAATTTGCTGGTGTTTATGTGTGCGTGCGTTCGTGTGTCTGTGTGTGTATTTTAATAACAAAAGCTGCAAATGGTCCATTGCTGATAAAAGCGATGCAGCAACAACAACATTGGCATGTGCAACAGCAACAACAACAGCAACAGCAACAGCAAGAAAATTGCTCATTTCTCATATGCAGCGCGCAGCTAACGGGCCACTTGAAGATATCACTTAATGAGATTTGCGCATCTCCAAATGCAACAACAATAACGACTACAACAACAACAAGAGCAACAACAACAACAACAGCATAATGAAGACGTGCTCGAGTTGCCAAGTGCTCGGAACTGGCGTTGGAAGCAACTTTTGCTGCAAAACGAACATCACTTGATTCTGATTAGCGTGCTGTCAAGCGTGAGAGCTGGCAATACAGACACACACACACACACACACACACACACACATGCACTTGTTGTGCGTCATTTTTGACGGCTTGCAAGGGGAAGGTGGGCCTGTGCCTGTGGGAGGGGGAGCCGCGACGATACCAGCTACAGATAAGCAGCTTCCCGCTTGCCATCTCCCTCTCGCTCGCTCGCTCGTTCGCCCTCTCGCCCTTTCGCCTCTCTGGCTGTCCAACTGAACCGCCATTTGGCCTCCGGTCTGCGCGCGTTTTTAATCGCTTAATAAGCTCCAACTCGAGCTCGAGTTGTTGTAATTAAGCCCAGGCACTGCGCAACAGCATGGCAGAGAGGATGTGAGCAGCCCTAAGCACACATACTTATATAAACTCTTACACACATACATATATTGTATATAAATTCAGAGACACTGTTGCTCTCCACCTCAGCAACAGTTACTCAACTCTTTTTTGTTTCGCTTAAAGCCGATTTCGAGCGAATTAAGCGAAATTTCAATGCCCAAACTTTGAAAAGAAATTTTTAATAATTTTTTATGAAATAAAATTGCAATTAAAATTAAATATAATTTATATTTATATTATTTTATACGATTTATTGTATGACAAATTTCATCTATATTTCTTTAATTAAATAGAATTAATATTAATGATCAATGACCAAGATAAATCCATGCCTATTGAGCCCTTTGAGCTTTAAGAAAACTTCAAAAAATAAATGAAATACAACAGTCTTCGATATAAATCACGAATATTTATCAACATTAACTTTTAGAGTAAATATTAAGTCAACTTAAATTACGCAATTGTTGTTTACTTCCAAAGCGACAAAGTCAGATATTTTATTTACAGTCAACCGTACAGTAAACACCTACATAAATTATAGGAAATGCTGCCAGCTTGCAGTTAGTTAAAATAATGTTTATTTACCACTTGGTTTGGACTATTTCTGAGCTGGATTTTTACTTCGTGCTCTGTTTATTCATTGAATTGCTTTGATTAAAGCCAAGAATTCTGCCGGCCGAGGCACAAAATGTTGTTAAGCACAAATTTGCACCTGTGTGGACACAGCACACGCACTCCGCACACACTACTCACACACACACACACACACACACATACCCACACTGGTACACGCACACTCTGTCTTAGCTGAGGGCAACGACAATCGAAATTCATTGCCTCGGCTAGTAAAATCTGTTGCCAGCTCATGTTTATTTAGGATAAATAATTCAATATACATGAAACGAGCATACTCTCTATAAAAGTAATCCGTGCAGAGACAGCCTATATCCAACGCCCACCTGTCACGCCTATGTCTTTGATTGAATTTGTTTCGGAAAGTATCTTTTATTTTTATTTTATTTCGCTCTCCCTCTCTACCTTTTTTTTGCCTAACACGCTAAATCAGAATGTGGCTTAGACATGAGATGGCTGACAGACTAACAGATACTTTAGGATTAGTGTAGAATATGAAATTACTATTTGTCCTATATTGTTTTTATATTATTATAATATAAATAATTTTAAGGAACGTTTTTATATTTTGAGTACTTGAATAATAATTTTGCAATTTGTTGAACTTTGTATGACTAAAATATATAAAAAACATGTTTATTATAAATAATTTAAACAATGTATATTATATATTGAAAACATTTAAACTTCTTTTGTGGTTTGCTTAAGCTGCAAAAAGAGGCTTACGTTTTTCGATATTTAATTTCTTTCACAAATGTAATATATAATTATATATAATTATTATACTTCGATAAAGCATGTTAAATTTTTTCGAGATTTAATTACTGCCATATACTAAATGATTATAAATATCGACGATACTTTGATATATTTTGTATATAATTTATTTAGAAAGTATCGATAATGTACGTATAAATCGTATTTGATATCACGAACTTTTGATGCTTTTAATTATTACTTTTGCAACTTATATAATTTATATAATTTACAAGAAATACAAAAAATATATATATTTATTTATATATGAGACACAAAAGTAATATCTAGAGCTTATCATATATGATGAAGAGAAATTAAGTAAATTTATTATTATTTAAAAAACTTTTACTTAGGGAATTTTGAATTGACTTTTATAAAGTCCTTTTGTAGATATATTTTTGTATATGTATATACATGTATATTCACTTATGTTCCAGTAACCAAATGCATATACATATAATGCAGAGCATAGAGGCTTTTATTCGAGTTTGACAAAACACAAATACAACAAATACACGCACACACACACGCATACAAACAAACACACGCATACACACACTCA